ACTCAGCTACCCTACGTACATTAGCTCTGAACCCTTCCCTATCCTGTGCCAATCTCATCTCTGTCATATGTAATCCCATTTCTCCAGTCACTGGGTCAATCCATCTCATCATGGGTCTTCCTCTCCTGCACTGTCCCTCCACCCTTCCAAGTGTGATGTCCTGCTCCAAGGACTAGTCCCTCCTTGCAACATGCCCAAAGTATGTGAGACAGAGTTTCAGAATCTTTTCTTGCCTCTAGGGAGCAGCCTGGTTTAGCCCTCTCCAGGGCAGATCTGTTTGTTCTCCTGAAAGTCCACTCTATGTTTCAACACTCTTTTCCAGCACCACCTCAAAATTTAAAATATGATGGAACTAAATTTGTTTAATTGTTTCACTACAGTGAAATATTTTCCCCACTGTTTTACACCAGAGCATTCTGGTGACTTAAGCCAAAGGGAATTGTGCCAGCTCCCCAAAGGGGGCCTGCTCTCCGGTTGTTCGAAAGCATCAACAGCTGTGCAGGAGAAAGTTAGGCAGTTTCTTTTCCTTCGATTTACAATCTCCTGAAAACCCGTTGGAGGGTCAGCTCTGAGTTGGTTCTGACTAGAGTGGAATTTTTTCATTTATTTTACAATATATTTCTTTTTCTCCTAGAAATTGAGGGAGCTCTGGTGGCCTAGTGGTAAGAAACTGCACTGCAATCCCAAAGACATGTGGTTCAAATTCACCAGCTGCTCCAAGGAAGAATGGGTAATCTTTTCCTGTGTGATCGATTGCCTCTGAAAACCTGCTGGAGGGTCAGCTATGGTCAGTTCGGACTCCACGGTACACCAGCACAGCAACTAGAAACTGAAGTCCTGCTCGCTGCATTCGTTGCCCATTGCAGAGGAGCTGGAGGAGTCAAACCAATTGCTGTTAGAATTGCAGCGCAACTTCTTATTACTAGGCCGCCAAAGCTCCCTTCATCCTGCAGGGGCCCTTTGAAAAGATAGATTTCAACTAGGTAAGTTGTGAGCAACCTGCGTTATGTGAATGACACAACCCTGTTTTCTGAAACTGAGGAGGACCTGAAGCGCTTGCAGCAGAAGGTCAAGGATTGCAACCTCCTATATGGATTGAAGTGCAACATCAAGAAAACAAAGATTCTCACCACTGGGCCAATTGGCAGCTTGGTGAAGAGATTGAGATAGTTAATAGTTTTCATTTTCTTTTTTCCACAGTCAACACTCTTGGTACCAGCAGCCAGGAAATCAAGAGATGAATTGCATTGGGAAAATTAGCTGTGAGGGAACTCTCAAGAGTACTGAAGAGCAATGACACCAGGCAGGAGACTAAGGTGCACCTGATCCAGGCTATAGTCTTTGCAATTACACGCTATGCATCAGAGAGTTGGACAGTGAATAGGGATGACAGAAAGAGAATTGATGTCTTTGAGCTGTGGTGCTGGAGAAAAGTGTTGAATATACCGTGGACTGCTAGGAGAACAAACAGGTTTGTCCTGGAGAGGGTGAAGCCAGAATGCTCCTTGGACTCAAGGATTCTGAAGCTTCGTCTGACATACTTTGGCATGTTGCAAGGAGGGATTGGTCCTTGGAGAGGGACATCATGTTTGGGAGAGTGGAAGGACGGTGCAGGAGAGGAAGACCCTCGATGAGATGGATCGATTCTGTGACTGGAGTGGTGGGAATGAGTGTGTTTGAAACGGCGAGGTTGGCACAAGATAGAAGGGCTTTTAGGACTCTTGTACATAGGGTCTTTATGAGTCACAAGCCGCTCGATGACACACAACAAGTAGTGAGAATGGATGATCTCAGGAATAAAGTGTTTGCCACTAGGCGGAGCTCTTGCAAAAGAAGCTTACTTGAAAAAAAATTCACAGAAACAAGGGGCGGAGGAATAATCTCATTTTATCTGCTTAACATTTATTTGATGTGAAGCTTCCCCCAACCCCGAGTATATTTAACAGAAATTTTCCCATTTTAATCATACTTGAAAAAATGTTTATTATGAAAGCAAATAGATAGCTGTCAAAGACAAATGTATAAGTTACAAAGATAAACGTATAAATACAAAGCAAAATAGAAGGGGAGATTAAGTCACATTTGAAAGTCTTTCATTTCTAGAAACCTCACCTCGAGTTATTAAGTTCATTCTCTACCAGAGAAAATAGTGTGAAGAGAGACAGGAAAAAAGACTGAGTTACTGAAAAATTTAGTAATTTCTGTGACCAGTAATATTTCATGGACACACATGAACACTAGCAACATCTTTTGTGTCTTTGCCTTTGTGTAAACTGCCTCTGCAGATGGTAAAGGCTTTTAATTCTTGCCCACACGGTTCTGGTATTGTACTTAGAACACCTTTTCCCAAATAGATCCTGTTTCTTGGAGGATATCCAGCCCTTACCCAGAAAATATCAATAAAATTGGAAAGTGCTCAGTTGATTCGCAATACATTTTACGAGAAAAATAATTAAGGGAGATAAACGTTTGAATTCTCACAGATGCATCTGCCTTCCTCCAAAGAACAAGAACTTTCTTGAAGACATAAGGCTAGAGGCAAAGTGGGATCAGTCAGTGTTTTCTCCTCTATTCTTCAGAGGGAAGGGAAGAAAATGACCAGGGCTGCAGGAGAATTTAAAATAAGGATCAGCCTGTAAAGGGAGAGCAGGATGAGGAGGGATAGTATTCAAGGACTGATGTCAGAGGTTTCAATAAAATCGATGTTTGCGTTGTTTTCACGCAATCATTGATAAAACGGGTAGGCTTCTAGTAAGAGGATGCAGGGGCGGAGAGGGAGGGGGGATGCCAGCACATACCTTTGTGCGGCAGCTGTGTGCAACCGCAAGTTTCCTAAACAGTTTATTCTGTCACCTCTGCCTTTTTCCAAGCCCACTGACCTCATGGTGCTCCTACTCCTCATAGAAGAGCCGCCTTGGGGAGGGGGCACTCACTCAGGCAGGAGGCCAGAACGTGCAGACTGCCTTGGTGTCCTTAGAGTAGTTCCCCAGCGACGCCATCTGAGCCCTCCAAAATAGATAGACTTTAATTGACTTATTAAATGTCGAGGCAATCAAGCAGCCGCTCCTTTTTTAATAGCCCGAAGATCTACATTTAGACAAAAACAGATCCAAGTTCCTGGTAAAGGCGTTTCTTCTCATCCTGTCATAAGTGACAGGAACGGAGGGAAATAGACTGAGAGAGAGAAAAAAAAAGGGGGTGCGGGGAGAGGGAGAGATTTGGGCTCACGGGGGGGGGGTCTGACGAAGATCCACACAAAAGGGTATGAATATTTCAGCGGCTTCTTAACGCGCTTCTAATTAAAGACTCCCGCTTTTGAACCCTCTGGGGACCCGCGCCTTACGTCTGCAGGCGCGAGAATAAGAGGCGGCTGAGCTGACCCTCTGAGCTGGGAACTTGGACCCCCGCGCTCACCCCGAAGGCTGCCGCGCGGACCCGCTGTGGTTTTCCACCCACTTGGAGTTGACCGTGTCACCGCGGGGCGCCGCGGCTCCCGCGCACCCTATAAGCTATATAAGCAGCCGCGCCGCTGGGCATGGAGTAGTGGGGGCGCGCTGCGGCTCCTGGCCGGCAGGGACAGTGCCCAGACGTCCGGACAGACGTCGGTGGCTCCGAGGGCCGCGAAGGCAGGTAACTCTCCGGCCGCGGCCCGCCGGCCTCCACCCCACGCCCGCCACTTGGCACCTCTCCGACTCACAAGTGGCCAACCAGCTGGAAGTGGCCCTGGCACTTATTCGCAAAGCGTCTCCTTTGGCTCCCCCTCCCGCGGATCTCCGCTTCCCGCCTCGCCCGCGCCTGCTCCGCAGCGTACGAGCGAGTGGCTTTCCAGAAGCGTGTCTGCCGCCGCGAACAGGGTCGGGGTCCAAGGGCGCGACGCGGGGCGCACTCGGGTTGGGGACGTAGGTAGTTGCCTAGCCAGCGTCCCGGGTTCCCGAGCGCCTCGCGGCGGGCCGTGCAGGTACCTGGGTGCCCTGCGCGGCGGCGCCGGCGCGGGCGGAGCGCTCCGGGAGCGCGGAATCCCGGCCGCCGCAGGGGGCTCTGCCAGAGCTTGACCGCCACCCCTGGGCCCGAGAGGGCGACCGGCAGGACCAAAGGAAAAGATGTAGGGCGTTGACTTAGAAACTTAATTCGAGGAACCCAAACCCGGCGCAAGATCACTAAGCTAAACTGCGTGGTGTTTTCTTTTTTTTCCCCCCTTTTTTGTCTGTTGAGAGTTGAGAGGAGCATAAATTAGGGCCAAACACCTTCAAGTTCACTCCTATAGACAGGCAAGTTGCCCAGAGTGCATTATTTTTTTTTTTAGTTAAAAAAATAGGTATTGTTTTATGATGTGATATAGACTAGTTTAATGAAATATGAAAAGTTATCTAGCCTGGTGTGGCTGAGTTGGGATTCAGGACGAGTGCCTAATGAGGTGTGTGGGAGCGACTGCTAGTCTAGTGTAGCCTGGGCATTTAATGGAGAGAGCTAGAGAGAAGAAACTGAAAACTACAGGGCCATAAGTGTATTTCCTACTCTGGGCAGAGGCTTATAAAGACTCCGAGAAGCAGTCATTTCTGCCTCACCTCGCCCCCTGGGAAAAGTCACAAGGATCAGAAAGAAATCCCCCACCTGTGTGACCAGTAGGGCTGTGGAAGCCGCCAGGAGCAATGAGGTGGGCTTGGGAGAGCAGCGCACGGAAGTGCCACGGAGTTAAAAGGAGCAGCTGGGCCACTGGTGAACCGCAGCTTTCCAGCGCCAGGTGGCCAGGTCTGACAGCAGGTTAAGTGGAGAGCTGGCCACTTTTCCCTCGCTTGCTGTTCTCCACCTCTAATCGTTTTACTGGGTGTTCTCTTCCTCTCCCCCACCAATCCACCGACTTTCTTTCTTTCACTGTCACCCCCCCCCCCCATCCTCTTTCTTCTTTCAGTAAACAAAGATTCCCAGAGAGGGTGTTGGATTCTTTTCCAGCTTCATTCCTAATTTAACGAATCATCTTGGCCCTTCTTATGCAAACTAAAATGAGTGGCCCCAAACGTTCTGTCCTCTTGGGGCTGGCGCTCTTGATGGTGACGGTGGGACCCTGCCTAGGAAGAACTGATTCTGGAGAAATCACAGAGAGACAGGTACTTTTAAAGCTCATCATGAAGTTCTTTCAAGAATTTGAGAAATACCACTCCGAGGAATACAAGCCATTGCAGTTTTCCAACCAAAATGACTACACTTTGGGCCATGAGGGGATGAAAGACTACGAAGTTTATCCTGAGGAGCAAAGAGTTGGTAAGTCAGACTCTGTTTTATTTATCTCAACTTATCATATAACACACACCCCCTTTAACCAGTTGCCTTGAGAATATTTATCCGACTTTTATGTCTAAGACAACCCTAAAAGCATTTGTTTGAAAAAATAGAAATACCTTTAAGAAAGCATATTTAGAAAGAGAAATAAATTCTGCCTGATTTAAAACTACTAGGAAACATTTTTTAAAAGAAATGGAAAATAGTGAGTTTTATGCATAACTACTTCATAGATGATCCTGATGAACTCATTTTTAAGGTGTACAAATTGCTACCAATATGGATGATTTCTGTGTAGAGCTATTATTTTGGAAATGATATTCAGCAAAGCAGTTACAATCGAAAATGTTTCTGAGCTCTCCCCCTATGGTAGAACCTTTCCCAGAGTGACTGCCCCATGGGACATTTCTGAGGAACTCTTGTAAGTGTTAATGCTTTTCATGACGCAGTTAGGTCAAATATGACAAGGTCCATTTTATATAGACTGGCTAAAGTTAGCATTAAAGGAAGACTAACATCAAGGAGATATCTAAATCTTGAAAGTCAGTAGGATTCTAATAGATACTTTCCTTCGAATAAGATAGGAGAAGGATCTAAGGAGTATTTGTGGAAAAATAAAGTGTGACATCACATGCTGTCATCACTAAATTAGTAGTCCAGAACAGATAAGTGAAAATAATTAAAGATGACGGATATAAACAAAGTACTCAGCAGAAATCAGAAGGGATACCAAGGGAATCACTGTTGTTTACCAAGTACAAACCAAGACATGTTGTAGGAGAAATTTATTTGGAAGAGTTTTTCTTTGGGACTTTATGCTTATCTTATGAACAAGCACAATTTTTACCATTATATTTCAGTTTCTTTACACTAGCTTTCTTACTACGTGGTTTTGAAGGCCTATTATCCTTTGTCTAAATACATACTAGGAAAAAGTAAATTCTGTAATAACTTTTTTCTTGTTAGTTTGAAGGGTCAGATTTCTTTCTATAACTTGGAAACGTGAAATTTGATTCCCAAACTCTGCAAAGTGAAAATGTCTAAAAGTGATATATTCACTAGAATCTTACCATCAATAATAACCATCACTGTATACTTTGATTTAATCCTAGTGGTAGAGATGACAGATAATATTGAAGTTTTATAATTAATTCTGTTTGAAGGAAAACATGTCTATTGGTACATGTTTTCAGATTATGCCATACATAACATCCTGAAGGGGTTCCCATCTGTTTTATTTACTGCAAATATAATGAATAAAGAGTTTGCAGTAGCTTTTTTTCAACATACACTTAAGGTTATATGTAACCAAAAGCACTTCTTTCAGAAGATGTGATAATTTACTGCTATTTTCTTTCCCTTCAAATAGAAATTGTTCCTCGAGATTTAAAAACGAAGGAAAAGTTTTTAAAACATCTTACAGGTAAGTTTTCATTTCATTCCTTCACCTCTCCTCAAGTTCTTTGCATCTTGCTGAATCCTTATGATTTGTTTTCTTTTTCCTGGTTATAGGTCCTATTTCTTTGGGCCCAAAGTGCCGCAAACAATTTTATAGAATTTATCACAATACTAGAGACTGCACCATTTCTACATGTAAGTGATAATATATGTAAATTGCTTTATATATACAAGAACAGTGTAGATGAACAATTCTATGAAACAAATTTACTTTCATTAAATAGGCCCCTGACTATCAGAATTTATACTTGCCAATATAGATACCTTCTTTACTGGGACAAGAGTATCAGATCATTGAAGATTAACTGAATTTCTGGTAAAATTTAGAACAAAGCTATACATATTTACACGTTAGAAGGAATCAATGCTTGGAATGAGCTTCTTTAATTCACATTCTTACTTTGTTTCTGTATTCTGGATGGTACTTTTGTATCTGCTGAACTGTGACAAACAAATGTTAAGATTGAATTACTAAAATTTCTACACCAAGTCATTTAGTTTGGAGCATAGAAAAATCCAAAAACTACTGTATCACCTAAAGCACTCTGGTTGACCTTTCTTGACCATGTCCACTATCCTGAGCTGAAATTTCCTTCCCGTTAGATACCTTATCATCTAGAAATTTTATTATATTTTATTATAGTCCTATCATCTAGAAATCTTATCACTATTTCAAAACCTTACTTTTCTGTCTGCCTCCACCACTAGATCAGAAATGCATAGCTGTCCTTACCACTCTGTTGTTGTTATGTGCCGTTGAGTCGCTTGTGACTCATAGCGACCCTATGTACCACTCTAGTAGCTCTCAATTATAATGGTCTTTTCTTACAGGTTTCTTTTCAATGACTAGTATAAAATTGTCCCTGTAATTCAACATAGATCTCCTGTCTATCTATCCCTATAACAAAGCATTTCATTAACCCCCAAAGGGGCTCATTATGCTCTTCACACCATACAGAACAGCAAAAAGTGTGTTACCTGGAGTGGCATATGTAGAGCCCTAAACCAGGTGGGTTTTTGTTTGTTTGGTTTTTGTTTTTTTTTAATAGGGACTAAACTTTAATTATAAATCCACCAAGAGAAAACTTTTATAACCAAATATTTTATACCAAATATCTTACTACTTTCAGAGACTATTAGAAGGAGCTTGCTCATCAGCAGAGCAGACTTACCTTCCTTGTCTTCCAAAAAGTTGATTTACGTGATGTGGAACTTGCTTAATTTTGTTTGTGTATACGTGTGTGCGTGTGTATGTGTTTTCTCTTGTGTATATAAGTGAAGTTAAGGCAGGCCATAAAAGTTCTCATGTATAAGCATTACGGTGTACCAGATACTTTGCTAGGCAAATTCATAAACATTCTAACAATTGCTTTTTATGACAGTGCAGTAAAGGATTTTACATGTGAAACTGTGGTGTGCATGAGAGAAGCATATCATGCAAACAAACAGGAACAAATGGGCTTCAAACAAAGGCCTGTTTGGCCTTAGTCTTGTCATTATGCTGTTCTGAGTACAAGACAAGCAGCAGACATTTCCTGAACTTTTTCTTTCTGTAATAGATCCACCCTTTCATTCATGCCTTATGTACCTCACACATCGTTGCTTCCTTGTTTCCTGCCTTTAATATAGAATCATCTAATGTTTAAGGATTACTAACCTGCTTCTTAGAGCCAGAAATTATTTTTATTGTTAAATGTTTATATATTTTTAAACTTAAGCTGTGAGACCCTTGTTTGGAATGCCATTGCCAGAGGTTTTTTTCTCAGTCTGTAGGTTTTCTTTTCACTCTTTTAGAAAAAGTGCACACACAGACTTAATCTTAGAAGGTCCCATTTGACTGTTACCCTCTCCTGGTTGTGGTTTTCTAGCTGTATTTGTCAGCATATTGACACTGTAGGCTAGGCCCTCTAAGTTTCATTGCATTTTGTTTTGTAGGATCTTTATTGGTTCTGGGCTTTATCCTTGGGTCTCTGATCCATCTTGCATTGATTTTTGTGTATAATGCGTGATGGGAATATGGCTTCAGCTTTCTGCAGATAGAGGTTCAGTTTTAAACAGCACAATTTGCTGAAGAAGTTGTTGTTTTCCCATTTGAAAGGTTTTGTTTCCTTGTCAAATATACCAGTTGACCATAGATAGATGGGTTAATTTCTGGGTTCTTGATTCTTTTCCATAGGTTTGTGTGTCTCATTGTACCAGTACCATGCTATTATGGCTTTCACAGCTGTGTAGTAAGTTTTATAATGAATAAGTCATTGCTGTGAAAACTAGGCCAGGTGGTGATTGTGGAACAGACCACCAACTACTTGTATGCAAGTTCAAGCTGAAGCTGAGGAAATTTAAATCAAGTCTACAGGAACCTTGAAAATTTGACCTTGAGTCTATACCACCTGAATTTCAAAACCATCTCAGGAACAGGCTTGAGGCCTTGGATATTAATGCGCAAAGACCAGATTAACTGTGGGAGGGTATCAAGAGTATCATCCATCAAGAATGAAAAAGGTCATTACAAAGACAGAGGGGAAGAGAAGACCAAGATGAATGCCAGAAGAAACTCTAAATATTGCACTGCAGTGCCAAGAAGCCAAAGCAAAGGGAAGAAATCGAGATATTCAGGAGTTAAACAGAAAATTCCAGAGGACAGCATGACAAGACAAAGTAAATTATTACAATGAAATGTGCAATGAGCTGGAGTAAAAAAATCTAAAGGGCCAAACTCTTGCAGCATTTCTTAAGTTGAAGAAACTAAAGAACAAATTCAAGCCTCAATTTGCAATATTTAAGGATGCTTTGGGCAGAATATTAAATGATCCAGGAAGCATTAAAAGAAGATCAAAAGAGTATGCAGAGTCACTGTACCAAAAGGAATTGGTGGACACTGAAAAATTTCATGAAACAACATATGAGCAAGAGCCTGTGGTGATGAAGGAAGAAATTCAAGCTGCTCTGAAAGAACTGGCAAAAAGCAAGTCCCCAGGAATTGATGGCACACCAATTGACATATTTCAACAAACAGATGCTGCTCTGGATGTGCTCACCAATCTGTGCCAAGAAATTTGGAGGACAACCACATGGCCAACTGACTGGAATATTTTCCCCATTCCAAAGATGAACCAACAGAGTGTGGAAATTATTGAACAGTATCATTGATACCACATGCAACCAAGATTCTGCTGAAGATTATCCAAAAACAACTGGAACAGCACATCAACAGAGAACTGCCTGAAGTGCAGGCTGGATTTAGAAGAGGCCTTGGTACTAGGGTTATTATAGCTAATGTCAGATGGATCTTGTCTGAAAGCAGAAAGTACCAGAGGAATGTCTAATTGTGTTTATGACTATGCAAAGGCATTTGACTGTGTGGATCACAACAAACTTTGGCTGACTCTAAGAATAGGAATTACAAAACACTTGATTGTGCTTATTCAAAACCTATACTTGGACCAAGAGGGAGTCATCAGAACAGAACAAGGAAACACTGCATAGTTCAAATTGGGAAGTGTGTGCATCAAGGATGTATCTATCCTATCTTCGTATCTTTTCAATCTATATACAGAACAGATTATCCGAGAGGCTGAGCTCTATGAGAAAAGTGGCATCGACTGGAGGTAAACTCATCAACAATCTGCTTTATGCAAATGACACAACCCTGCTTCTTGAAACTGAGGAGGAAGCACTTGCTTGCAGAGGGTCAAGGACTGCAGCCTTCAATATGGATTGAAGCTCAACATAAAGAAAACAAAATTTCTCACCACTCGGCCAATTGGCAGCATCGTGATAGATGGTGAAGAGATTAAGATTGTTGACAGCTTCAGTTTGCTTGGTTCTACAATCAACACTCTTGGTACCAGCAGCCAGGAAATTAAAAGATGAATTGCATTGGAAAAGTCTGCTGTCAAAAACCTCTCCAAAATACTGGGGAAAAAATGATGTCAGTCTGGAGACTAAAGCGCGCCTGATTCAGACCATCATCTTTGCAAATACTTGCTATGCATCCGAGAGCTGGACAATGACAAGGGATGATAGAAGGAGTTGATGCCTTTGAGCTGTGGTGCTGGAGAAGAGTACTGAAAATACATACCATGGACTGCTAAGAGAACAAACAAGTTCATTCTGGAGAGGGTAAAGCCAGGCTGCTCCTTGGAGGCAAGGATTTTGAACCTTCATCTGACATACTCTGGACATGTTGCAAGGTGGGATCAGTCCTTGGAGAGGGACGTCATGCTTGGGAGGGTAGAGGGACAGTGCAGGAAAGGAAGACCCTTGATGAGATGGATTGATTTAGTCACTGGAATAATAGGGATAGGTATGTTGAATACAACAAGATTGGCAAGGAATAGAGCAGGGCTCTTGTACTTAGGGCTGTTGTACTTAGGGTCGCTATGAGTCGCAGGTGACTCGACGGCACATAACAACAACATATTTTGAGATCAGGAATGCTATGCCTCCCACTTCATTTTTGTTTTTTAGAAGTGCTTTGTTTATTCAATATCTCTTTCCTTTCCAAATAGTTTTTCCAGTTGCCTTTTCTATCTCTGAAAAATAAATTTGGTACCCATATTGGGATTATACTAAGTATGTAGATTATATCTTGTTTACTGCATTTTTAATCATTATAGAGTGCCAATCTATATTTTATGGTGGTTTTCATCTTAAACTGTTTTATCAGAGGTTAGTATTGACACTTTTGCCTTTTTTTTGTGTGTGTGGGTGATATTTGCTTGGGGTTTTTTTTTTTCCCTACTCTTTTTTAGTCTGTATTTTTTTTTTTCCATTTCTCAGATGTGTCTCTTGTTGATGGGCTTTGTTTTTTTATCTATTCTGCTACTTTTTTTCTTATAATTGGTATGTTTAAGGACTGGTGACCTAGTGGAAAAAGCTATGCTGCAATTCCTATGGCACACAGTTTGAATTCACCAGCTCCATGGGAGAAGGATAGACAATCTTCTCCTATGCAATTAATTGCCTCTGAAGACCCAACAGAGGGTCAGATATGGGTCAGTTTCAACTCACAGCACACAACAAACAACACAACAAAACAACAAGTGTGATTATTGACGGGCCAAGTTGTTTCTGGTTACTATGGTCCATCCACTTTTCTTTGGTGTCTCTGTGTGAAGGGCTTCCCTTAGAATTTCTTGTATAATTGCTCTTGTTTTCACAAATTCTTTAAGTTCCTACTTTTCTACAAAGGACCTAATTTTTCCTTTATATTTGGTGGATAGATTTGCTGGGTAAAGGATCCTTGGCTGGCAATTCTTTCACTCTTCTGCATGTGCTATCCCATTGTCTTCTTTCTTGTATAATTTCTGCTGAGAAATCAGAAGTTAATCTAATTGGTTCTCCTTTGGTAGGTGACTCTTTGTTTTTCCTAATTTGTACTTTCACTATATAAAAGGTATATTTTTGGAAGCAGACTTACTTATCTCTTTGATATATTGTGAATTTATGGCTTTCAACTTACTCCCTCATTCATATTTTTACTGTTTGCATTTTCAAATAGAATTTTGCTGCTTTCAAGAATAATTTTTATAATTTATCAACTATGGAGGAAACTTTCCATAAAACTTCATCCTAAGAAAATTCTATTTTGGACATGATCACTAAAACCCTAAATCCTCTGCTGCTGAATTTATTTTTATTCACAGCACCCCTGTAGGATAATACAGAACCACCCTATAGAGTTTCCAAGGCTACATTTGAACCATTGCCTTTTTGGTTAGCAGCTAAGAACTTTAACTGCTACATTTCAAAAGCTCCTTCCATGATCACTGTATATCACTTAGGGTCCATCACCTCAATCAGTGTGGTAAAATGGAAAAATACATATTAAGGAGATTCTTAGGTGCCTCTTCTTTGCCACATTTTATGTCCCATGTACTTCAGAATTTTAATGCAGCTTTGTGTTATTATCAAATCATGTGGGGACTCAGACTGCATAAAACTTGTAAGTTAGGTGACACAGATTATAGGAAAACCACATCTCTTTATGTCTTGGGAAAAGGGATGTTATTGTGATGTACTCTGAGGCCACAAGACAAAAATGGCCAAAGAAGCAGCTGTTCAGTAGACTCTTTTATCCCTTGCTCCTATCCCCAATTATTCAGCTAACTTTACCATGTGACACTGCAGTCCCAGAAACTATTTTATAAAAAACTTAGAGTCCTTGATTGCAGGTGACAGTTTTGATACTCTGTCTAGGGAATTCATAATATTTCAATAAATACATGGCTTCAACAGATAAACGCACTTACCAGAATGAAAGTTCTCATATTTATTTTATAAAGAAGTGTTGTTCAGGAAACTGACAAGAGTCTGTGATTTATTTCCTTTACAGTCTATAAGAGATGTGCCAGGCTTCTTAATCGGTTGGCTTCCAGTCCAGAGTGCATCCAAGAAAGGTAAGATCTTTGACAACAGAATTACATTGACACAAATACCATTGGTTATAAGTCCATTTTGGGCATGAAAAATAAGAAGACTTATTCTTGGGCAATGATAGCATTACTTTCAGTAAAGGTGAAATAACACTCAAAATATCTCAAAATGTTGGTCGTAAGTAAAAGATAACCCCTACTAACTGACAAATAGTACTTCATGTGTCCATTATGAATTTTTCATATATTAATGTACTTGGCACTGAATATGTGTTAATTAGGAGCCTTGGTGGTACAGTGGTTAAACATTTGATTGCAAACTCAAAGTTCAGTGGCCCAAATCCACCAAACACTCCATGGGAGAAAGATATGATAGACTGTTTCCCTAGAGATCATAAGCTTAGAAACCCAATGAGTCAATTCTACTCTGAGTCAGAAGTGGCAACAAGTTATAAATTAATTGCAAAGAACATTGTTGTGGTGGTTGATATGTGCTGTTGAGTAGCTTACAACTCACAGCAATCCTATGTACAAGCGCTTTAAACCCTGCTCTATCCTGTGCCAACTTCACTGTCTTTGATATACCCACTCCCATTACCCCAATCACTGAATTGAACCATCTTATCAAGGATCTTCCTCTCTTGCACTGATCCTCCTCCCTCCCAAACATGATGTCCCTCTCCAAGGACTGGTCCCTCCTTGCCACATACCCAAAGTATGTCAGACGAAGCTTCAGAATTCTTGCCTCCAAGGAGCAGCCTGGTTCCCTCCTCTCCAGCAGGAACCTGTTTGTTTTCCTAGCAGTCCAGGTATATTTAACACTCTTCTCCAGCACCACAGCTCAAAGGCATCAATTCTCTTTCTATCATCCCTAGTCATTGTCCAGCTCTCTGATGCACAGCATGCAATTGTGAAAAATATGGCCTGGATCAGGCACACCTTATCTCCAGCCTGACATCATTGCTCATCAGTACTCCGGCGAGGTCCAACAGCTAACTTTCCCAATGCAATTTGTCTCCTGATTTAGCACACAAAGTTTAATGTACACTGTACTTATTGGAAACTTTCCTTTTTCAACTTACTTTTAGATGTTCATTTACTCACATGCACAAATGAATATATTAAGCATATCTCCAGAGTACTAGAGAGCAATGATGTCAGTCTAGAGACTAAGGTACATGTGACCCAGACCATGATCTTTGCAACTAAGCATCAGAAAGCTGGACAGTGACTAAGGATGATAGAAGAATTGATGCTTTTGTGTTGTGCTGAAGAAGGGTATGGAAAATACCATGGACTGCTAGAACAAGTAGGTTTAGTCTAGAGAGGGTGAAACCAGACTGCTCCTTGAAGGCAAGGATTTTCAAGCTTTGTCGGATATACTTTGGGTTTGTTGCAAGGAGGGACCAGTCCTTGGATAGGGATATCGTGCTTTGAAGGGTAGCGGAACAGTACAAGAGAAGAAGACCCTGGATGAAGTGGATAGGCTGACTGGGGTAAAGGAAGTTGGTGTGTCAAAAACAATGAGATTGGCTCAAGATAGAGCAGAGTTCAGAGCTGTTGTACTTAGTGTTGCTATGAATTGCAAGTGACTCAACAGCACATAACAACATACACATTTTATAGATACACATAGTAAATGATAGAGTTTGAGTATATCATTGGGCCAGTTAGCCTAGAGAAAAGTTATTTTTTGTTTCTATCAAAATTATGTTATCATAGTCTAATGGCAAAAAATATACATCAAAGGTTTATGAATTACCTTGACCTATTGTGGGCTGCTCTTTAAATATATAACACCATCAGTTGTGCAGACTATACCAGATGGGATGAAAAGGCTTTATATATAAGGAATATAAGCTTTATATTCCTAACAAATGCAAACTTTAATTTCAAACTTAGTATATACCTTCTTGTTTTGTGTTCCCCCCTCCCCTCCCCCGGCACTAGCTTATATTGGGTATGCCATAATAACCAAGGTATAGTTCCTGCCTTCTAATAATTGTTGCCTTAAAAACTTTCAGCTAACAAGAAGCTATTAATTATAATGGGCATAGTTTAATGGTGATTAATTTTATAAAACACAATGAATGGGAATAATTGTATGAAACACAGTGTGAGGGAAGGATAGGGTAAAACACAACGTATACAAATTTTGTATGCAAACCAGTATCAAATATTTTTTTAGAACGCTATTAATTAAAAGAGATCTTATTTTGTATTCTTCTAGTAGTTTCTCCAGTTTGATTGATATAAAATACAGACACGCTCACTATGGAAAAGAAAGGCAATATTTGAATAGTTAAATAGCATCAAGTAAATGCTGAAATAAAACTCGAATAGCCTTTCTGTATTAGGCATATAAGAATAAATGTTGATAGACGCCCAGGTGTGATTAACATCATTCTTAGGATAATTTTTTTTTTCTGCATCAAGTAACAAATGAGATGAAATAAATTGTGAGAATGAAACAAAATTTAAAATGATTAATGAGTGATTATGATACTATATTTAATGTAAGTTCCATGAAATTATTATTGACTGTTTTATTTTACAGACATGAAACTGTAAGTTTTGGTGCCAGTTAAACTAAGAAATGACATAATTTACATTTTGTTTTATTCTAATAGTTTAATTTCTAGTCCACCGTACCTGTGACACACAGAAAATGTTCTTCCCCCCACACACACTTTTATACCCATACATGGATGCAGATTTCTTTATGTTCCTCATGGTGGTTCTCAGGGAACAATGTTGTTATTGTACCATCAAAGCAGAACCGACTCTTGGCTGACCCTCCAGCAGATTTTCATTAGTCATTGTTATGTGCCATAAAGCTGAACCTCAAGTGGGTTTTCAGAGACAGTAAATCAAACAGGAGGGGATTGCCCATACTTATAAGCTGAGTGGTTACTGGATATAAACCATGTGCCTTTGATACTGTAACTTCTTACCCTCTAGGTCATCAGAGCGCCAGTCTCCAAAGGCTTCTCAGAGGCTGTAAATCACATGGGATAAGATTGCCCATCATTTCTGCAGAGCAGCTTAATGGATTCAAATCACGTGCCTTTTTGTTGGCATTTCAACTCCTTACCACTAGGACACCAAGAGTTCCCTAGAGAAAATGAGTGCTATATTTTAAATTATATGTTGTCTTATTATTAAATTGCCACTGTTTCTAGAGATGGACCAAGCATATTTTTTGAATAAAATTTAATATATTTAAAAATGGAGAAAACAAATGCTTTATATTTACATTAAAAAATGAGGATACTGTCTACAAGTCTTCCTGTTTGCAAATTAATTAACTAACCATTCTCACTCAGTTGTCTTTCTGGAGATAACAAAGAAATGTAGTCAAACAAAATAGCAAGAGTAATCAATGTAACATAAAGAATTAATACTGAATATTTTCACTTCTGCATCAGTCTCAAGATGGACACATCATTGCTTTACCAAAAGCACTATGATTCTCCTTCACAAAAAAAGATGTGAAGAGAGAAATAATGTTTAAATATTAACAAGTCTTGGCAATATGTCATTAGACATGTTAAATAAATATTGCATTGGGGAATGGCACTGATAATTGACAGTGTAACCCTTTGGATCACTTTACCCAGAACTTCCCGATGAGAATCTCATTGAATAATAAAATGTATTAAAAGTAAAAAAAAAAAAAAGTATAAAGATAGGCATCAGAAGTTTCTATTCCTACAAACACCATATTTGATAGCCACAGGTGGTAGTAACTGACAGTAACTATATTAGTTTTTGCCAAGAAATTGATAATGTTTAAAACCAATATTCCTTCCTACTCTTTAATAATCTTTTTTTCCTCTCAAGAGTATTCTTCCAATCAAGTAAATTTAAGATTTCAATAGTTAAATCCAATAGGTTCATAAATTATATTTACAAGTAACATTGTAGATATAATTAATATGTGTGTGTGTATAAACACACACAAACATACACACTTCTAGTAACACGATGGGGAGCTGGGAGCCCTGGTGGTTTAGTGGTAAGGAATTACACTGCCTACCCAAAGACAAGCCGTTCAAATTAATCAGCTGCTCATCAGAAGATGGGTAGTGTCCTCTCCTGTAATTTAGTGCCTCTGAAAACACACTAGAGGGTCAGCTATGAGTCAGTTCCAACATGATGGTTGTTGTTAGCATACTACAGGTATAGGGTGCTCTGCTGGCCTAGTGGCAAGAAGATCCACTGAAATTCTAAAGGGACACTATTCAAATCCCTCCAGCTGCTCCATGGGAGGATGGGCAGTCTCCTCCCTATGCAATTAACTGCCTCTGAATATGCACCATTGGGTCAGCTGTGGGTTGGTTCCAATTCGATGGTACACAACAACAATAACATATTATACATATTTACATATATGTAAATATGTATCTTTTATATATATTAAAAATCTACACACACACACACACACACACACACACACACATATATATATATACTCATATATACATATATATATATATACACTTTGAAGCTTGGTTTAAGAACTTAAAGACATTATGAAGATCCAAGCATAAAATGTTGTTAGGCGCCATCAAGTTGAGTACAACTCACAGCAACCCAATGAACAAAACATCTGAACCAAGTCCTGTCTTGTGCCATCCTCACACTTCCTACACACAAGAGGCCATTGCAGCAATCACAATGTCAATCCACTTGCTTGAGGGTCTTCCTCTCCTTTGCTGACCCTCGACCCTTCCTAGTGTTATGTCCTTCTCCAAGGAATCATCTCCTAGCTACATGATGGGTTTGTCAGATGCAATGCGATTGGCACAGGATAGAGCAGGGTTTAGGGCTGTTGTACATAGGGTCACTATGAGTTGCAAACGACTCGACGGCACATAACAGCAACAGCTACATGTCCAAAGTATGTGAGGCAAAGTCTAATCATTCCTGCCTCCAAAGAGCACTCTGGCTGCACTTTCTCCAGTGTCTGTTCATTCTCTTGGCTATTCATGGGATGTTCAGTGGGACCTTTCCAAATTATTGAGGAGTAGTGATGTCAGATTGAGGACTAAGGTGTCTCTGAGTCATGCCATAGTATTTCCATGAACTATTCACATGAATAACTGTGTGATATGATGGCAGGGAAAGACACTACATTTTATGGGCTACTGATTTTTTTTTAAATGTGACAGTGCTGTTGTTAGGTGCCATTGAGTCGAGTATGATTCAGATATGAACCCTGTCCTATCTTGTGGCATCCTCACCTCTCTGCTACACTTGAGTCCATTGCTGCAGTCACCAGTCACAATGTCATTCCATCTTGTGCTCTTCCTCTCTTTAACTGACCCTCCTCCCTACTCAGTATGATATACCCTTCCAAGGAAGAGCCTCTTCTAAGAATATGCCCAAATTATAAGAAGCGCTGCCATCCTTGCCTCCAGGGAACACTCCAGGTGTCCCTTTTCCAAGACATATCTGTTCATTCTTTTATCTGTCCATGGGATATTCAGTACTCTTCTCCAACACCACAACTCAAAGGCATCAATTAATGACCTGTATCAGATGTGCGTTAGTTGGCAAGCTGATATCATTGCACTTCAGTATTTTGGAGGTTCCTGACAGCAGACTTGCCCAGTGCAATACATCATCTTATTTTCTGACTGCTGATCCCAAGAGTGTTGATTGTGGATACAAGTAAGATGAAATTATGGACAATTTCAATCCTTTCTCCATCTATCACGATGTTGTCCACTGGCCAGGTGTTAAGAATCTTTGTTTTCTTGATGTTGAGGTATAATGCATGTTGACGTCTGTAGTCTTTGATCTTCTGCAATAAGCATTTCAGGTCTTCATTTTCAGCAAGCAAGGTTGTGTCATCTGCATAATAAAGGATGTTAATTGGTTTTCCTCAGATCCTGATGTTTCATTCTTCTTTACAGAGTCCAGCTTTACAAATTATTGCCTCAAACATACAGATATATAGGGAAAGAATACACCCTTGATGCATACCTTACCTGATTTTAAACCTTACAGTGTTCCCCTTTTCTGGTCAGACAATAGCATCTTGGTCTAGGTATCAATTTTGAATAAGCAGGATTAAGAGTCCTGGGATTCCCATTTTTCTCAATGTCAGCTATAGTTTGTTGTGATCCACACAGTCAAATACCTTTGCACAGTCAATAAAATACAGATAAGACATTCTTCTGGTATTCTCTGCCTTCAGCCAGCATTCATCTGACATCAGCAATGCTATCCCTGTTGCCATGGCCTCTTCTAAACCCAACTTGAACTGGCAGTTAAATGTCTATGTATTGTTCCAGTGGTTTTTAGGTGATCTTCAGCATATTTCACTTGCATGTGATATTACTGGATAATTTCCACATATTGTTGGATCATATTTCTTGGGACTGGGGAAAAATATGGATCTCTTCCAGTTAGCCAGTCAGCTGTCCTCCAAATTTCCTGACATAGACAAGTGAGTATATTCAGGGTTGCATCTGGCATTTGAAATGCATCAATTGGTATCCCATCTATACCTGGTCCTTATTTTTTGCCAGTATCAATGCAGCTTGAATGTCTTCCTTTGTTACTACCGGCTCTTATTTATATGGTAATTCTTGAAAATGTTCAGTGTCAACCAATGTCTTTTGTTACAGTGACTCTGTTCACTCACCCTACCTTCTTTAATGCTTTCTGGCTCAATCAAGATTTTTTCCTTTGACATCTTTCTGTATTGCAAGTTGAGTCTTGGATTTGTTTTTCAATTATTTATTTCAGAATGAGAAATGCCACACAACTTCTATCCCTTTTATTCTGACTCCAGGTCTTTTGACACTTTGCTTTGTCTTCTCAAGCTGCCCTTTGAAATCTTGTTAAGCTCTTCTATTTCAGCATCTCTTCCCTTGGTTTTGGCTTCTTGATACTCTAATGCAATTTCATCGTTTCTTCTGACATCCATTTGGCTTTTTCTTTTTCCTCTTTGTAATGACCTTTTGGTCTCTTCATCATTGGTTTCCTTGATTTCATTCCTCAACTCTTTTTAAAAAAATTTTTTTAATATATAACAGCAAATAATTATCAAGTAAAATGAGTCATTTTGGGATTGGACATACCCTTCATATAGGATTTATAACTAAAATTATT